CAAACAGCAGCAAAATAGCTACTTCCTCTCCATGCAAAGAAAAAAGGGCCTGCCTTTTATAAAATGAAGGTTGTTATCAGATGTAAGCATTCCTGGCTGCCTGGCTAGGATCATCTGTACATGAGAAAGCCTGACAGTTTCAGTGCCACTGGAACCACACAATCCTTCATATCATACCAGCCAGTTCACTCACTTCACCTCTGTTCGCAGAACAGCTTTCTGCAGGCATGCTGCAGAAAACACTGCCTAAATTAGAATTACTTGAAAACACAGATAACCGAAGTGGCTCTTGAACTTTTAATGAAGTTCTGTGGGTGGTACATGGCACGGCATGGTTGTTTGTTTCAGAAAACTATCATACAAACTGAATGGAAATCAAAGTTTGAAACTTCTGGTTTATATAAAACTGTATGTCAACAATTCAACCTTGCAGCTTTGACAGACCTTGATCCATTTCTAGGGCAGTTTCCGTTGTACATACACGTTTGTCCTTGCAACTGCTTAGAGCCAATTTCTTACCTCTACAAACAAGACCAGAGTCTCAACATTCTGAACATTGTCAGTGCAGACCTCAACTCCAAAAACATGTCTGCTCCAGAACACTTTATCCATGCTAGTCTAAACAGGACCTGACTTGATGGACACAAGCACACATTTATAGCAAACATACTCACTGTTCTGTATTTACACAGAATAATAAATTAGGGCTTTGGCATTAAAACTGCTCCAGTAATAGTCTTGTATAGAGCTTAAATTGGCTCTGGTTAATATTCACAATATCAAATATAGCATACCACTATGTATACTAAATTAGTAAATAACTGTTTTTTCTTGTATTTTATGTCTCTCTTGATATACACATTGGATACTTGTTCATAGAACTAATCATTGTTCAACGTAACATGTAAAGCCATGGTTGCCTTTCCTTTTATAAGATACAAGAACTTAGAAGTGTTCAGCTGTTTCTCAAGACTCCAAAAGAAGATCCGAGTGTTTGAAGATGTGCCCATCAGCTGACAGAGCTGTCAGACAGAAGCTACTGGAAAACAAACCACTTGATGCCATGCCAAGTTTGAATGGCCAGGCCATAGATTCTGACAAATGAAGACATATGGTGAAATATGGTCGGAGAAGGGCAGGTATAGACTGCCTCGTCCATCACGTATCGATAATGTACCCATCAACGCCAAGTCTACTGTACTTTGTACTGATGGAAAGCTTCACTGAAAGCTTACTAAATTTGTGGATGATTACGGTTATGGGGCAAACAGATGTATTTTCCCTCGCCTTAGTATGGCTTTACTGTTTGGAGCAGTATACGTGAGCCACCATGGCTTTCTTTCACAAATGCTCACTCTCGTTGGAAAATTTTGAAATCTGGACCCTCTAAAACGCTTACGCTATACTGCATTTTGAGGGGCAAATTTTGCTGGTAGACTAACCTTATGGCATTTCTTTGCACCTCTTTACATGCTGATTTTTGACCATCAAATATGATGAAATAGGGACAATTTTTGTCTGTAATTAGTGGGAAAAGGACGTCAAATGACAAAGACAGATGCTGGCAGGATCACTGGTTCTGGCCAACAATCTCCATGACATGCCAAGAACCATTCATTTTTATTTATCTCTGCAGAAAGGATTTTTCCTAGAGTACTAGTATGTTTGTACCGTACTTAGATTTTAGCTAGGAACAACCAAGAACAATGCAGAAAGACAGTTGATTCATCTGTTATTTCTGATAGTAGTCCTGATAAAGTTCAAGTTGCATGCAACTGGTATCACAACAACATGGGCTCATAAAAGTTCCTTGTTTTTGTTGTAACAAGCACGGTGTAACCCTATATACAGTCTGAATAATTTAGAGCCAATTTGACGGATGGAATTGTCTCTGTGCCTCACAAAGGTTTAAGTAGTCTGTGTTTTCTCATCTTCTCTCCATTTCCATTGTTGTTTTTAAGGCTTTTCACGACTCCAAACAAATGCTAATGCCGTCTGGCTTGCTTGTTGTCCAAAGCCCAGGGCTGAGTCAAGGCTAACTGCAACTCGACACCTGGATTTTCTTTACCCTTGGGGAAGTTTTCTTACAGTTTGACAGCTTGGAGCTAATGATATGCTGTATTCATATTCATGTTGTCAATCAACTGCAAATGGCGTTGATTATCAGCTTAATCTACAGTGGCTGCATGCTTGCAGGTAATTTTCCGAGAGCTGGAGCAGTGTGACTGGAAGGTAAACAGAGTTGGAGGTGTTGTTTTCCCAGCCAGTGCGCCAGCACACCTGTACAGATCAGGTGTCGGGCGGGACGGTTGGCTGACTGTGCCCCGACTCACGTGCCCCAGGCCCTCTCCACATCCTGTTGAAAACTGGGAGCATTCCCTTTTCAATTTGGACCAATTATAAAGATCGTTGTGTCATTCATGAGTGTGAGCCTCAACGTATCAACCGTACTTACAGTGACAAACCGGATATCTAACAGAATTTCTGTCAAGTTTTCGACCAACTCGGAATGGTTGTTGCATGCCCTAAACAGTTGTTGTCTGGGCGGTGAGAGAATCACAATGGTGAAATTCCTTTATCTTTTCTCTTTCTGAGGGTCTTTTTCACTTGCAAATTTCTCCCCACAAATCTGCAGTCTAAGCTGCAGTCGCTAAACCAAGCCCGACAATACACACACATGAATCCAGCCAAATAAATCAGAGTTTAGCACTACTCCAACACAAACAGACAAATTGTGCAATTCTTGGTTTGCCATGATATAAATCTCCACACAAAAGACCCTGTTACAGCTCCCAAACTTCTTTCCCTCCAAAACAATCCTTCCCAATCTTGGCTTACAGCCAAAACAACACATTAAACCCTGCCAACTACAAAAAGTCTCATAGCAAACCACATAACAGGCAAAAAGAAACTCCTTACACAACAGGGCCCATATAAAAATAGGTCAATCCCTACAGCCAGGAACCATATTAGATCCACATACTTGTCCCACGGCTAGGAATTTCTCCGCAAACTGTCCCCACAGCCCTGTATCAACACTGTGGGATGGCAGCAAATTGCCTGCCTTAGCACATGGTCAAAGACAAAGAAGGCAGGAAAGACAGCGGAAGCGAGCACTGGTGTACAGGAAAGAACCCTCAGCCCACCCAGAGTGGGTAGGGGGTGTTGAGTAAGAGCTAGCTAACCTGCATGGTGGGTCTGCCAGAAAACTTCAGCGATGTTTGCCTCCCAAGCACGTGCCAGGCGGGGCAGTAGCTTCTCTCCATGGGACATGGATCCATCCTCCCACATGTTGGACTACAGTTTGGGCACAATGTGACCAACAGAAGCAACTCCAGGAGCCTGATAGATATGTGTCAAACCCAGCCGCCCAGGACCCAGGTGGAAAGTTCACTTGCTGAACTCTGACTGAACCCAGGCCAACGAGGAGGGCTTTAGTATGCAAACTGGGCTGTACCACATTTCCACGGGGAGGTCCGCGCGCAATAAAACTCTTTCTTTTGTCCCCATTACAATTCTACCTGTTGCAAAATACTCAATTGGATATCCGAAAATAACTATTAGCAAAGAAGGGTGTTACAAAGGGTAGGTAAATATGAGAATTAATCACTTTTGTTTGGGGGCTGTCATACCCCCCTCCCCACATACCTTGTCCATCAGAGGGGCTGACAGTTCTTGGTGATGGGCAAGCTTGGTAACCACAGTTTAAATATAGCCTAGTAAACCACACACTGCTGTTCCAGCGCAAACAGGAAAACACTCCAGAACAACTACAACAGATTGGTATCAGGACTTCTTCTGGTTTTGGTTTTATAGCAGGAAGTTTACTAGTAAGCAAGAAATAAGATAATTCCATGGCCAACAGAAGGATTCCAGTCTGTTTCGATCCCCTTCTTCGCTTCGGCTTGTGCGAAATATGAGTGATCATTCACAGGTTGGCCTATCGTGGTGTAGGTAATATAACATTAACAGGTCAAACCTTCAATGAGCAATATACATGCTTTCCTGCTATATTTAGTGCCGTATTAACCTAAAGGCATTTGAGTCAGAACTGACCATGAAAAAATTACAAAATATGTTCATAGACTCTATTGGCATCTATTCTGATTATTTTAGGTTTCAGGAATTTGTTTAGCCCCCCTCCCCATACACTAAATGTCTAATCATGTTCATACCTAACATTTCATACTATGTGTGCTTTACAGGCAACAATACTGTCCTTAGACATGAATCAATTGATCTGTAACAGTTGTATCTTTGATCAAATGTAAAATGTAACAGAAGGCATTACTACTGATAAAGAACACAGTGTCAGCTGGATGCCCACACATGTGTTGTGTGATATCTGAGACTGGTCTGGCCACTGCAACAAGGATCAGGGGTGTGGTACTTTATTTGCACAAGAGGATTGGATGACTGGGCAGCCATATTAGCTCCAGATTCTATGTACCAATCCTGCTTGCATAGTTGGGGTATGTTGCTTTAGAATGTTAGAGTACACCCACACATAGAGTGACAGTTTGCATCTGATGATAATGTATATCTCTAAAGCAATTACTAGTACTTTGAAGAAATGATTGATGGGGAAAACAGCCTAACAAAATTTGTTATTATGCAATTAGACTGGCCAATAAAATATTATATTATGTACAACATAATTCATTTTTAGGCTGGCTAATTAGATTTTGATCTTCATACACTTGCCTCAGTGATGAGCCAACTTTTCAACTACAACTCCATCAGTCCATGAAAAAATGTACTCTTCACTCGCTCTATATGTGTAAATCTTTACCTATAAAATATACATGTATGAAATAAACACAGAGGGCAGATTGACCTTTCCTGTGTAGCACACCATCAAACACCCTTGTTAACTCATGGTTTGGCTTTGACAAGAAACCTTGCCCATGGCACAGCAAAGAGTAATGCACTTTGTGATTCTGTCAATGTCCATTTGCCTCTGTCTGTCAATCATTTGTTGGGGGCGGAGCCAACAACCACCCCAGACACTGTCAACAAGATGACACTTGCATTTAGAGCCTTCATTGACAAGTGTGTGATAATGACAAATGGTCTATGAAAATGGCACCTACAGTCCTTATAAAGTTTACAGGAAAAGCATGTGTAATTCGGTCTAAACCTGTCCAGGCCACTTTATCGTGAATATCAGCAAATATTTGTGGAATGAATCGTACGACCATGAACTTTGGAACAGTGTCCTCCAAGGACAGGCTGACACCCCACAAATGTTACCAGAATCACAACATATTGAAAAATGATTTCATGTGACATCTTGCTATTTCCGCTACACAACCCGAAAGCAGCCATGCCTGAAAATTGACGGACCAGAAAATTTTCTGGTCCAAATGTCAAAGAAATTTGCTTGGCTAAAATGCAAGGATCCATACGTTACCACTTCAAATGCCAAGCTTTCAAACTGAAACTTGCAATGGCCAAACAACCTCTCATTGTTGGGGCCTACTCTAAGTGCCTGATCTATGGAAGGGCTGCTAGGAGCCTAATGTAGTAAGGCTAAAAGTTATCAAAAATTTTATGTTTTCCATTTTTAGAAACTTTTCAAGATTAGTCTTCAAACTTGTTTTGAATCATCAAAAGTCCATCATGAGTCAACCTTTGAAGCTAGTCATATTTTAATAGGTCTGTATTTTGATTCTTTGCTCTAAAATCTAATTTGAAAATTTGTAAAAAAACTAACACGGAGGAAAGGTTGTGACTTGAGTCTCCAATACAAAATTCCCATCATGAATATTTTCAGGAAATACATGTACATGTAGTACATACTCATAGTATTTCTGTAAAACTGTATCCTGCCATCCCAACAAATACAACCTACACTAAGAATTAGGAAAGCCCACTCCAGCCTAACTATGGCTGAAATCTCCAGTCACTTAGATAGTGATAAATGTAACCTTTGCCCAGAGCAAAGGAACAGTTTACCCAGTGGTCCCACTCCCCTCCCTCCAGGCATACCTCCTGTCAAACAAATAAGACTGCACAGAGCACAGAACACCAACTCCACACTTATCCCACATGCCTCTCAGCTACTCTCCGCATGCTTATCTGTCCCTAATACCAACCCACGGACTTTACTTCCAAACTTACCCATTTTATCAGCTTTTATCCACTCGAGAATACTGTTTACCACTACACAATTTCTTCTGATAAAAGACATAAAATAAAACAACAGCAGGTGGCTTTAAAAAAAAAGCCATGTCAGCAATTTTTGACTTGAGAGGCACAATATACCACTTGACAACGTTACACACTGCAATACAGTACTGGTAAACAGTACATAGGTGTGTGTGTGTAGTTTCGCATTTACAAAAGGCGGCCAGACTTTGAAAGAAGTCAAACACTCTCTGCGGTGACGACCAATTAATCTATTGGGCAATCCCTGCTCGTATGAGAGACAAATTTACTCAGAGCTCGGCACACCTGTTAGGTAAGGTGTAATCTGGACAGCAAATATCCAACTCTGAGTCTAATAAAGACACTGCAATTTAGCAGAAGAGCAGCTTTGAAATTGGATATCTCTGGACTAATAGTAGCAGGGAAAAAATGTTGACAGGAATAAATAGAAGACATAAAGGAGAACGAACTGGACACAAATCTACACACAAATCCAATCTCTAGCCTTTTCTCTTCAATTCACTGCTACACTTTTAAAGTATGTTGTACAATACAGTGTAGCCTGCTGGTCAGCAATACTGCTTCAAGATCAGAGGGTTGAGAATTCAAAACCTAGACTATTGTCACAGAACTAGGATGGATGTTGTACAGTATATATATACTGTACCATCGTCAAATGACCATTGTACATGTAGTTACTGAAAAGAGAAAGGGAATTTCTTTGGCTAATTCAATTGAACTTGTGCACTTGTGCAATGGATGCAGCATATATACTAATTAAATACAATAGCTACAGTGCTGTACATGTATGTAGGGCATATGTACCTATCTTATTATGGAAACAATGTCCTGCATGTTCCAATTTATCCCATCCAATAAAAAAGCATGAAACATAACCCCAATTTTGACACTAATCTCAGACAAACATTGAACAGTGCCCCTAATCCCTGAGCTGATCCTGGGCCTCTTGTTGACTTAAGGAGGATTTCCACTCATGCTTAATGTACATGTGTGGGTGGATGGGCTTAAAACACTGGCTTCTGTTACTACTGGCAGCAGCTATCTAATACAGTACACAAAATACCACCAACAGAGATGCACCTCTAGCATGTCTCCTATGGTTTCCAATAAAAAAGATAATCATTTCTATCATCCTAACAACCGTATGTTTGATCAACCTCTTTGATAATTAAGGTATAAAGATAGTAGTACACTAACATTGCTAATACTGTACCTTCAATTATGAAAGCAATATAAGTTACCCTTTATTACTACACTACCTGTATCATTAATTTGTGAGTCGATATAATAGGAGTAAAGTTTTGTGAGAGTATTTAAAAAGAAAGAGTTAACATTTACCCCCAGTGGGCCTCCTATGCTCCTGGTATTTTTGTCTGGTCCAGAATTTGAGACATACATAGCATGCAGGTCAGGACTATTCTTGGCCTTTGACACAAATAAAATCTAATTCAGATCAAACTACATGTAGTATCATGAGTTAAAAGACAGCTTAGAGAACTTGGAGAAAACTTTGCCAAGTGTTCAAATCGGAATCTCACAACACCATACAACAGACAAGTTTTGTGAAGCATATATTTCAGAAAACTTGCTGGCAAGCTATTTCTCAGAGGAAGAATCAAACTGTTGGCAGAGTGACTACAAAGCCCACAAAGCATAGCAGCTTTACCTGCTAGTACTGTGAAGCCCAGATTTAGAGAAGCATACACAGAAGGATTGGATCCTTTTTTAGGAAAACCCGCTCGAGAGGATTTACACAATATCTGGGATTTGGTAAACTACTCCATGGAAGTCTACCAAGAAATCGAACACAGGGAAATGTTTGGCAGGAATGAAAGAAACATGTCTTATTGTATAACTTTCTTAGGCCTTTTAAAGTTTGTATGTACATGCTGAAGTTTCTCCATCTGCAACAAGTCTTAAACTACTGTAATCCACTTTATGTTCACGATAGCAAAAGTTTGCAGTCTGGAGAAAAATGGAGGCGTTCACAGAACTGTATGTTCACGGTGGTGGCAGGTGCAGGAAAAAGAAAGTTGGCAAATTATATGTTATTGGTAATGATAAGTTTGCGATGCAGAAGTGACCATGAAAACTGCAAACATAAAAGTACTGCAAAAAAA